ATATCTATTGGAAAATTTAGATTACTCATAAGAATTATAAATTAATTAGTTGTCTATACAATAACAATAATTTAATAATTTTTAAGTAAGCATTATTAAATTTATATCGTTTATTCATATCTTTAATGTACTGTATATATTTTACAATTACTGTATAATTGTTGTTAATATTTTTATCATACATTTTCTGAATTTCATCATTACAAAACTAATTTGTATATCAAAAGAATTAAATTTCAAACATTTTTTATTGTGATATGATTCCTTTACATACTTATATTATAAATCTGATACTATATTTGTAAAAATAATAATTAATTGCACAGACTTTTAAAACTAACACTTGAATTAAATATTGTACTAATATTAGTTTTTATGCTTTGATTAAACTTTTATAATTTTATATTATTATATTATACACTAAATTATATATTGTATGATTTATTCAAATATTGTTCTAATCTCTTCACATTAAATATAAATAAATCTCCAACGGATTGAACATATTTATTATTTTTGTTTTCATTTTTAAAATAAAAATAACTTTAAATTGAAATATAATATTTTTTTAGTACTACCTTATTTGCCAGACCCACCAGATAAGAGAGAGAGAGAGAGAGAGAGAGAGAGAGAGCTATTTACATGTAATTATAATTATAATTAAATTATTAATTGATTTAATTATTTACTACTTATAATACTCTGTAAAAAATAAATAAAAAAATAAATATTTAATAATAATTTAATAAAATTATATAACCAGCCTCTCTCTCTCTCTCTCTCTCTCTCTCTCTTGTATGGAGGGTTTGGTGGGTATATAAAATTTTAATAACTCTTAAACTAGCATACTGTATTATTATTAACTACCTGTTGTTTGTCTATGCAATTGTTTAAATTGAATTATAAAATATTATCGTTTAAAGCATTGTAATACTGAAGATAAAAGCGGGATTTAGACATTAATTAAACCACTTTATGCTTACACTTGTTAGGACTGTAGCCCAAGAGTGGCCACAATTGTTAGGACAGTATTTTCATGATTGTTAACAAAATACCATATAAATCATAATTTACGATTAACTATATTTTTAACAAAAACACCTATCTAGGAACTAGCATAATTCTAACTAACATGAACTGTTCTGAATTATTCTACACACTGACCTGGATAAATTGTAGCTTTTAAATGTTTTGAACACTTGCTTACTAGTTAGTCTTGCATTCAATAGAAAAGTTTTTATTTTCTACCAGGGTCCTGGTAAATTTTAAGCGGTTTTAATATACACAATGTCTGTAATTATATTTGAGCTAATATTCAAAATCAGGAATGTAAGCTTTTATGAACATAAGTTGTATTTTGATATTAAAAATATTATTATTTTGATATTATTGTTTTTATGTAATATAGTATAATTATAATACAACTATTATTTCATGTATATACAAATTAATCAATAAAATACATGAAATATTATATAAAGATATTTGCATGCAATGAAATAAAACACGAATCAATATTCAATGTCTGGAATATTACTGATGGAATTGAGTGACTAATGTGTTTATGATATTTAGTAATCCAATTTGAATTGCTCTGACTAAACATGAGATACATGCTCACTAATGTAATTAAGTTTGTTTAAACAAATTAGAAATTAATCTGAAATCAATTCAATCTAAATATAAATTATTTAGAAATCAATGCAATACTAAAGTGACTAATTTTAATTATTTTGTACTACAGTATACAATACATTAGTGCAGTATTGGATTTTTTATTTTTTAATCTTTTAATCTAAATTAAAAGTCATTTTGTAGTTTTGTATGATTGTACTGTATACTAATATATTGTTTTCACTGTGTTCAAGGGTTAAAGAGTTATAGAAACGGATAATATTTTATATTTAATATTGAATACCCAATTTGATACATTTGAATAAAAGTGAAATACAAACTCTTATCTACTATTGAGGCGTTGTGCAGAGATACAGTAAGTAAATTGATATAAATTATCAGTGCTATTTTATAGCGTTTCACTTCAACTAAACCAAAAGTGAAATATTAAAACAATTTCTTTGTTAATTATTTTGTTGATTAATTACATCTAAATATTATTGTGATTTGAATTAATCTCTTATTTAAATTGTGATTAAATTGAAAGCCATTTGCGCTAAAGATGCCGAAAACCAATTCGTATTTCTTGTTATTCTTGGCTTTTGTGGTCTTCGGTTATTCTCATTGTCTGACTTCTTATCTCAAATGTAAGACTCATTTTAATTTTGCNCCAATTCGTATTTCTTGTTATTCTTGGCTTTTGTGGTCTTCGGTTATTCTCATTGTCTGACTTCTTATCTCAAATGTAAGACTCATTTTAATTTTGCATTATTTAGCAGAGAATACCAAAACATTTTCATTGATTTACAGATGAAGTGAAGTCTGAATTCTGTTTGGGTTCAGACTTTGATCCGCACATTGAAGTCAATGATTCCGCGATCGACACCTCTATTATACTCGAGTCCTCGCCGTTGATGTCGAAGACATGTTCTGTGAGACTGAGTCTGTCTTCACAAGTGGACGGACTTATTGTATCGGTTGACGACATTTCGATGATTAATTCCAACAAAAGTTGTGACAATTTCATCCAATTTGGTTCGTCTCCAGTGGCCAAATGGTGTCAATCATCGGACGCCCAAACCCTCATATTTTCCGATTCAGGCATTGATATTGCATTCAATTTCCCATTCAATAATGGCTCGTATTTCAAGTTAATTATAACTCCATTCAAAAGTATGCAAATTCTTTAATTGCAAAATATGTATAATTTATCAATTCTTTTAACACTGATTTAAATGAATGATGAAATTAGAGCCAGCACTCAATGAATGTGAATCCAATGCTCCCTACAAATGTGTCAATTCGAGTCAAATTCTGTGCATTTCCGATGGATTTAGCTGTGATGGTATAGACAACTGTCCCAATGGAAGTGATGAAAATGCCT